AAGTGGGCAAAAGACTCAACAGAGATTTTTCCAAAGAAGATATTCAAGTGGACAACAGGTACATGAAATGATGCTCAGCATCACTAATCATAAGGGAAATGCAAATCAAAACCACAATGAGATATCACCTCACACATGTTAGAACGGCTATTAAAAAATTTCAAGACGTAGTGTAGGCAAGAATGTGGAGAAAAGGTAAATTCTTGTACACTGTTGTTGGAAATGTAAATTGGTACAGCCACTATGAAAAAACAATACAGAGGTTCTTCAAATAATTAAAATAAAACTAGCATATGATCCAGCAATTACACTTCATGGTATATATCTGAAGGAAATGAAATCATATTCCAAAGAGATATCTATACCCCCATGTTCACTACAGCTTTATTTATAATAGTCAATGAAACAACCTTAGTGTCCACTTACTTATGAATGGATAAAGAAAATATGATACATACAAACAAAGAAATATTGCTGAGCCATAAAAAGGAGGAAACTTGCCATTTGCACAACATGGATGAAACTTCAGGGCATTATGCTAAGTTATATAGATCAGATAGAGACAGACAGATACGTTAATGATTTTACTTCAATGTGGAATTTTTTAAAACCAACTTCATAGAAACAAAACAGATTGGTGGTTGCCAGAGGCAAGGCATGGAGGGATAGGGAATTGGGTGAAGGTAGTCAAAAGACACAAACTTCCAGTTATGATATAAATAAGTTCTGGTAATATAATATACAGCATATTATTATAATTAACAATACCATATTGTATATTTGAAAGCTGCTAAAAGAGTATATCTTAAAAGCTTTCATCATAAGAAAAAATTTTTTTAACTATGTGAGGTGATGAATGTTAACTAAATTTATTGTGGTAATCATTACACAATAGATACATATATCAAATCATTATATTGTATACCTATATTTATATGTTTTATGTCAATTACATCTCCATAAAAGTGGAGACTGCCCACAGCTAACATCATACTCAATGATGGAAAACTGAAAGCTTTTCCTCTAAGATCAGGAATAAGACAAGGATGCCCACTCTCACCAATTTTATTCAACATAGTATTAGAAGTCCTAGCCAGAGCAATTAGGCAAGAAATAAAAGGCATCCAAATTGGAAAGGAAGAAGTAAAACTGTCACTCTTTGAAGTCACATGATACTATATGCAGAAAATCCTAAAAACTGCACCCCCAAAAAAAAACTGTTAGAACTAATAAACGAATACAGTAAAGTTGTAGGATATAAAAATCAATATACAAAACTCTGTTGCATTTCTATACACTAATAATGAGCTATCAGATAGAAAAATTAAGAAAATAATCCTATTTACAATTGCATCAAAAAGAATAAAATACCTAAGAATAAATTTAACCAAGAAAGGGAAAGACCTGTACAGCAAAAACTATAAGACATTAATAAAAGAAATTGAAGAAGCACAAATAAATAGAAAGATATTCCATGCTCATGTATTGAAAGAATTTATATCGTTAAAATGCTCATAGTATCCAAAGCAATCCACAAATTCAATGAAATCCTTATCAAAATTCCAGTGGCATGTTTCACAGAAACAGAACAAACAATCCTAAAACCACACAGACCCCAAAAAGCCGAAGCAATTTTGAGAAAGAAGAACAAAGATGGAGATGTCACATTCCCTTATTTCAAAATATATTACAAAGCTATAATAATCAAAACAAAATGGTATTGGCATAAAAACAGGCAATAGGTCAATGAAACAGAATTAAAAGCCCATAAATAAATCCATGCACACATGGTCAATTAATTTACAAGAATATATGATGGGCAAAAGACAGTTTCTTCAATAAATGGTGTTGGGAAAACTAGATATCCACATACAAAAGAATGAAATGAGACTACTATCTTACACTATAAATAAAAATACTCAAAATGGATTAAGGATGTGAACATAAAATCTGAAACCAAAAACACCTAGAAGAAAACATAGGTTCCTTGACCTCGGTCTTCGTGATAATTTTTTAGATTTGATACCAAAAGCAATGGCAACAAAAGCAAAAATAAGTTGGACTGCACCAAACTAAAATGCTCCTGCACAGCAAAGGAAATCATCAACTAGGTGAAAAGGCAACTTACAAAATAGGAGAAAAGATTTGCAAATCATAAGGAATTAATATCCAAAATATATAAGGAACTCGTACAACTCAACAGGGAAAAAAATCCAATTAAAAATTAAGCAGAGGATCTGAATAGACGTTTTTCCAAAGAAGACATTGAAATGGCCAACAGATACATGAAAAGGTGCTCAATATCACTAATCCTTAGAGACATGCAATCAAAACCACAATGAGATACCACTTCTTACTGTTCAGAATGGCTAGTTATAGGAAAGGAAGGAAGGAAAGAGGGAAGGGAAGGGAAGGAAAGAGGGAAGTGGAGGGGAAGGGAGGGGAGGGGAGGAGAGGAGAGACAAAAAAGAAAAAGAAAAAGAAGAAAAGAAAAAAAGAAAAGAAAAAAGAAGAAAAGAAAAAAGGAAGGGATGGAGGGTAGGAGGGAGAACTCTGGGTTAAGATAGTTCAGTTTCCTGGAAAACAGGGGTCCTGAACTGTACTTTAAATTGTTC